CATATTTTTTGGTTGTTACTGTTGTTTCAGAATTATAAATGCACTTATCATTTGTTCTTGTGTACTCCATAACCTAGGTCAAATTATGCACACTTGACCACATTTGATATTGCCTTTTCCATCACCAAAAATAACAACTGTCTACTGCCTAGAGAATGATTACCCCTCCCTCCCCTTCCCATGGCTTGTAGCCACCAAAGAATGTTGATTTCTATACATATACCTATTTTTATTAATTAAATTTGTTGTCCCCCAAAATTCTAATGACTATGCCTGTGGTTTTAATCCTATTTGGGAATGAGTTGTCTTTGTCATGGTAAAGAGACAGGATTAGTGTAGAAATGAATTAGAAAATATTTTGCTCTATAAATTTTCACCTAAATCACAATTTTTTAAAATTCCCCCCAAAAAATCGATATGTGTTTTAAATTCTAACCTTCTTATCCAGAGCAAAGAAGAATGAAGAAAACCAAAGATACATGGAAACAATTAGTCCAGGGGACTAGTGGACCATGCAAACCTCAGCCTGCATGACCATGACGACAAAAGGACTAGATGATGCCCAGCTATCACTGTCAACCACTCAGAAAGGGATCAGTGCAGGAGATCATGGATAGAGTGGAATAAAGATGTGGAACAAAATTCAAGATCATTAAGAAAAAAAAGATTACTAATCTAATAGAGACTGATGAAACCCCCAAGACAATGGCACCTAGTCATCCTTCAGGCCTACAATTGAACTCACTCCAATAGACAAACATATAAGGTGAACATTTACACTAGGTAGGTACACTCCTTAGAACAATCATTGGCAGTATTTGCACAGGGAGATATCTCAGAGGGCAGGAATGCATAGGGAAGGACACAGGGGAAAAGGTAACTGTAGGGAGTAAGTTAGAAGAGAGCTGTTACATCATGGGGATTGAAATCAGTGTCATAAAACAAAATGTGTATGAGCTGCTGTATGGAAATTAATTTGTACACTTTCAACCAAATAAAAATAAAATAAATTTTAAAGAAATTTGTCATAAATTCTAACTTCTATGCCTGTGCTTTTAATCCCATTTGAGAATGAGTTGTCTTTGTTGTGTTAAACAAACAGTATTAGTATTGGATGTACCTTTGGTCAATTTCTTTTGATATATAAAAGAGATTGTACAAGCATATGAAAAGCAAAAATAGGAGAAGCGAGATGGCAAGCTACATGAAGACTGCCTAGGAGCAAAAGCTAAAAAAGAAAACAAAACAAACAAAAAAACCTACAAGGACCTTCCTTAAAAGCTTAGAGAGAGAGAAAACTTCCTCCTAGAGCCAGCACCCTGAATTTGGACTTCTAGCCTCCGAAACTGTGAG